CAACGAGGTCGCTTACAAGCTGACGACGGATTCCATCGATGCACTGGTCGAGTACCACAAGGAGATTCACTGCGTCGACGCCAAGGCCAACACATACGAGTGGTCTGAGAAGGAGCAGCAGTGCAAGAAGCTTCACGACGACTTTGTTCAGGCAATCAACAAGTTCGTCTTTCGCGCCCATGTTTCGGCTCTCGAGGGCCTCGAGGAGGAGGGTGCTGGCGAGCTGCTTTGCGGCAAGAGCGAGGAGGTCAAGGCCAGCCTCATGGGTCTCATGAAGCCCCTGCTGCCTCCTCCGCCTCGCGTCGTCGACGTGGTCCGCCAGCCGCCCTTGCTCCCCAGCTCGCCCATCAACAGCCTGTGGTCCCAGCCCGGCTCCCTGCCGGCAGTCGACGCCTGGAGGGTCCTCCCCTCTAGCCCCAGCGTCACCTCGACGTCTGCCGACTCGAGCCACACCACGCCCGTCTGGGCCAACATGGCCATGAGCGACGTTCAGATCCCGTCCCCGCCGCCAGCCTTCAGCCAGCCGCACTCCACCGCCGGTTTCTTCTTCAGCACGGCCCCAGTCACGGCCCCAATCCCCGCCCTTCCCCTGCCAAGCATGCTGGCCCCGTCTCAGTGCGGCGTCAGTATCGGCATGGGAGGCATGGGAGGCATGGGCGCCATGGGCGCCATGGGTGGCATGGGCAACTTCGGCTGGGATCGCTACCAGGAATACGCCACCATAATGTGACAACGAACGCCCGCCACAGGTGACAGCTATCCTGCGGTCACAACATCATGAGGCCGCTGCGCCACTCCCTGGGCGGGATCGTTCGACCGGGGCGTCTTGCACCAGAAACAACGTCTTGACAGCGACATAGAGGTTCATCATTCACGCAACATTGGCATCACGGGTTCGGCGTTTTCTTCGCATCGGGAACGGAGTTTCATTCAGCTCGACAAATATCCACTCGTCTGGGGACGGCCTGACGAGGTCTGACTCATTTCATCGCGCCACTTTTTTTTTCGGTCTCATTCTGTCGGCAACCTGGCGAGAGCGCAATACCCCCAACATCGTCGCAATCGCTAGCCCTAGTATGGGACCATCTCAACCTCGATACCACAGCATGGACTGGATCCGCGGCGGGCACCTTGGAAGCATTTTCACACACTGGGCAGGGACCACGAGACACAAGCGGCTTGCGACCTTGTCCTTCTTTTTTCTTAACACGGCACTTGTTATTTTTTGGTCTTTTTTTCCTTTGAGCGGTTGGTTCCTTTGGGTTAAAGATAAGAGGAATGCAGCAATGCACAAGCTCGGCATGGCCCGATAACAGGCTCCCATGGATTCGCCAAACTTCGATTCTCCGACATTCTTTTCCCTTTATATTTTGGACGCTCGGAACGACACTCTAGAGGCATTTTCTCGGTAGATACCCGGCTTAGACGACAGTCGCCCTAGGCTCACGTTCACTTCTCTTTCTTTGGACCTCGACCTTGTTGCGGCTACATAATACATGATGGCTCTTGACGATTCGACGAACGAGCACGACCAAATTTCATTGAGCAATGATGACGGAATGGCCGAAGGGACGAATATCTGGCTTGATGCCAAATTGCAGTCGTTTCGGGAATATGATCAATGCTCAATGCAGGGGTTTGTTCCAGTCGACTCTGCGACTCAAGAAAATGAGCTGGACTGGTATCCAGCCATGGGCCACCTTTTGCGCGGCCGCCATTAGACACAACCATACCCTGGCCGATTACGGGACTATCCGGAATACGATCCTCTGGTCGGCAGGCGTTGGGTGTCTGATGCATCAAGGGTTGCCGCGTAATCACGTCAATGAATTACGTGGCAAGTCCAGGAAACCGAACGACTGGCCGGGAACGACCGATGAGCTGGACCGCACGTCCCGTCTTCGCTGCGCGGAGACGAGCGACGAGCCTCTCTAATGCTGTCGTCCTTTCATGGGCCGTACCCTCCTGAGGGACTTGAACGCAAAATGCCCGACCCTGCGCACTCGACGCCGTCTTGCGAACAACACCGCACATATCGTGCCCGGTGCCGCAGGTCTCTCTGCTAGCCAGAGATGAATCTTGCAGCCGGGGCGGTAGCTGCGATGTCCGCTTGGTGGTCTGTCGCCGCTCGTGCAGAGTCGGGACCAGTCGTCAAGGTTGGGTGACGGCCCATGAGATCACATGTAGCTCATCTCACTACATACCACTCAGTGCCCGATCCTCTTCCCTCCTGCGGGAGGAGGCATGCTCCTGGAAGAGCGCGGGCACTGAGGCAGGGCTCTCCGCCACAGGCGGGCAACACGGTGGTCCGCGACCCCCCGTGCTTGCCCCCGGGCCGCTGCGCGGCGCATGTGCGCGCGCCCTGTTCCTTTTTTATACCTCGACGTCTTGAGATGCTGGTTTCTACGTAATCCTCGGGCGCGTTGCGCCCGGGGCAACCTCCACTCCTACACCTCGCTTGCGAATCAATGGGAAGGAAACGGGGCAAAGAAAAATCATAAAACAACTCTTCTGCAAAGGATACCTAGCCTAACCCCTCAGCCTGCCCTGGCGGCAGGCGACGGGCGAACCCTGGAAATCAACCCAGGACGGAGGACAAGCGCGCAAGCCGCTTTCGTCGGGATCCCCGGGGGTGTGAAAGGCATTTCCTCCCCCGGCCTCGTCTGTCTCTTCATGCTCTTCTATGGTTGTCGCCCTATTAGTTAATATGAACACAAACTATTGTTCACGGTCGCCATGCGCAGTTCGCACGTGAAATGACCATGGTGTCTACTCCAGCCGCGTTGTTTGAGTCCTGAAAGTTCCCGTGACCCTTGGTACCCAGCAGGGCCGTGTCGTGAGAAGTATGATCAACTCAGCGCTTGCAGATATCCACGCAAGAGTCGTGCACGTAGTCGAGCTTGAGCCTGCCCCCTCCCCATCTCTTATCCCACACCACGCCGCACCGCCCCGCGCAGTTCCCAAGGCCCGCGCTGCTCACCGCGTGGAGCGGCTCCATGAGGCGCCTCACGTCGCGCCCCGTGCGGTTGCCCGGCCGGGCGACGCCCTGGAAGAAGAGGCAGAAGCCGCCGGGGCCGGAGCCCAGCTGCCGGCACGCGATGTGCCTGTCGTTGGGGTACACGGCGTCGTCGGGCAGCGCCGCGGCGGAAACGACGAGGTCCTGCACGTAGCGCACCACGTTCTTGCCCGTCGTGTGGCCCATGTAGCACATCCAGCTGGTGGGGGAGCAGCTGCCGGCCACGTCGGGGGCGAGCTTGTCGAAGTCGACTTCGCGTTTCTGCACGGGGGGGAGGAGGGG